CATAGAGCCCCGCACACCTCACCATTGGGCACCGCGCAGCCCACCATAGAGCCCGCACAGCCCGCCATAGTGTCCGCGCAGCCCGCCATAGAGCCCGCACAGTCCACCTCAGAGCCCCGCACAGTCCACCTTAGAGTCCCGCACAGCCCACCATAGAGCCCTGCACACGCATTGATCAACACAGGCTCAATGCAAGCGATCGCTACCCATGTGCTCTGCTCACATCATACAGGAACGTTGCTACCTGATATAAAGGGATATTTTTAATCTCATAGTGAACTTCCTGCTTCTGAGACCCCCCCCTGGACCCTCATTCCCTGATATAGATGACATCTATACAATTCCATCATCCACATGCCAAATGTAAAAAGGTGGCGGCTATTACTACTGGATCACAATTGTAGTCCTGCACTTCCAAAGAATTACCACCAGATGGAGACAAAGAGCTGAGTCAGAAGTGTCTTTCAACCAACTCCATCTGTGCTTTAACTACAAATCCCAACATCCCTCTGCCTCTGGGAGTCAGGCCTGCCAATGTCAGTTATGCAATGCCTCATGGGACTTGTAGTTCCACAACAGGTGGAGGGTCGGAGTTGCCCACCCCGATATAAAATCAAGAATACAAATGTCAGATATTACAGCTTATCAGTCTTTAGATGAGGTGGATGCATTAGTTTTCTTTCCATTTATTTTCACCTGGTGGTCCTGTTAGTAACATTTCCTGTCCTAGGGTGACAACGCTCACTCACTGCGGTTTATCAATGGAAGAAGCCATGGTGGCCCGCAGGCTGGACTTCAAACATATCCGCCTTTGCTTATTTTTATTACGTGGGGTAAGGTGGGAATTAGTTTACGTAAGGGAGATAAGATTGTCTGTGGTTCCTTTTCGGGCTCACAGGAAGTGGATTTTTGGCAGGATCCACAGGTACTAATGTTCTTAGTCTGAAAAAAGAAAACGAATGCGGCCACCACATCTAAGGACTGCGGAGGTACAATATATTACATTTTAGGAGTCTGCATAGTTACATTTCAGGTTGATTTGGAGAAAATTTGGGTAAATTTGCAATTAAACTAACTTGGGCGCCATAGCTCTGGTCATTCTGAGTCATTCCCATGTTTTCACTCAGGAATCACACATTTTTCTAAGTGAATCTTATGTGAAAATGTGTGACTCGTGAGCGAATGTTGTAGGAACCTTGGGTGAAAATGTTGATAGATAGACCCAGGAGCATATTTGCCACAAGGCTAACAAGGCATTTGTCGTGGGCGGCACTTTCCAAGGGGCAGAGCCTTAGCTGTCATTACTGGTATCGGCACCAATACCGGTATCGGTGCCAATACTGGGCACTTTCACGAGTACTTGTGAAAATGCTCCTATACTAAGCGCAGATATCGGTGCTTGACATTTTTAAACACAAATGGCTGCTGTAAGGTCCCACCCTTGCTGAAGACCTCGTGGCAACCTTCTGGGGACCTCGCGGCACCCATTTACAGTGCTGGCCGCACATCTCTTCCTTCCAATGGAACCATGCCAACCTCCTCCGGACCCCTGGTGAGATGCTGCACAACCCACATTTAGAGCCTGAATGAGCCATCTGAGACCCTGCACAGCCTCCTGAGATGCTGCACAGCCCACCTGAGACCCTGGAGACATCAGGCCGCCACCTCGGAGCAACACAGAGTATGTAGCATCAAATTATTCTGCAGTGCTGTATAATGAATTGCTGGGATTTGTAGTCCTCTATAGCTGGTGGCTTTCTGCATTGCTAACAGTGCAGCCCCTCAGAAGCGGGATCCAGCGCATGTGCTGTATCCTGCAACTGACAGGTTACTCAAAATGTCTTAAACAGGAAGGGGTGGGACAAATTTGGATTTGGGGGTGCCCAAGCTTGGTCTTGCCTAGGGCTGCACAAAACCAAAATACACCACCGGATAGACCCACGTAATATACTCCCAACACAACTGATAGTAAGAACATGAACTGATTTAATTTTATACTCCGAGCCCCCAACTCCAAGGTTCTGTTCAGTTCTAGGAAGGCCCGGCCTTCCTAGAACTGCAGGTCATGTCTTCTGCACAGATTGTCCTCCTTATGACCCTCCTCTGTCCCCATCCATATTGTGCACCATCAGATGAGCTTCATTGTGAATTTATTGTCCTCTGCCGATGAAGTTCCCCGAGAAGTCCTGGGGATATAATCTATATTGGCCGTGTGTTTGATATTCCCGCGCCCACGGCTCCAAAGGAAAATGAAGATGAAGCAGAGCGTTACGGAACTGATGAAGGGAAGGATGCCCCCGGCCGTGATCACAACTAGTAGATGACTGTGAAGCATGGGGAGGGCGGTAAATGTGGCGCTGCCATTGAATGGAATGACCTCCAGGTGAATCCAGACAGAGTCATTCCCTGCCAGGTTGGTGGCCAGGCAGAGGTAATCCCCGGCGTCTTGCATTCGTACGGGAAGAAACTGGAGGGAGCCTTCTGGTAGAGTGGTGATTCGACCCTCCATTCTCTCTGATAGTGATGGAGGGTCTGCTACCAACTGTGCTGACTTGGTCACCTCTACGGGACCAGTAGACGGTTGGGGGAGCTCTGTGTCTGGGGCTTCAAGCTGTGTGGATTTATTGTCCACGGACTGTGGTACTTGTGGTAGGACCCATAGCATAAAGGGTTCAGGAACGCCATGACTCTGGCAGCTGAGAGTCAACCTGCCACCCTCCTGCACCCTCAACTCCCGTGGCCCTCGTTCTGTTATCCTGGGTGGTTGACAGGTGAAGAACTCTGGACATAGTAGTTCTGAGTGGTCTGGGATGACCATCCCCTTCAAGGAGTCGGGGGCTGAGCACACCGGCGGCCTTCCTCCAAACTGGATCTGATGATGAAGGAGCCAACAGAGGCGGCAGTCACAGGACAGATTGGTCTCAGAAAGTAACAAGGTCTCCAGGACACCAGGGGGTGGGAGGGCATTGTCTTCCACCCATCGAATGGGATTGTCTGAAAGGTCCAGCATACGGAGATGGTCCAGCCCTTGGAAAGCATTGGAAGGAATGGAGCCAAGTCTTCCACTAGACAACCGTAACACCTCCAACCTCTTCAGAGCACTAAAACCCTTTCCAGTGAGGAAAGAAATTGGATTTTGGGAGAGGTCCAACCTGCGCAGGTGGACCTGAGACCTCAGGGCTTCCTCAGGGACCGAGCTTAGGTTGCAGTTGGTCAACGATAGGGATGTAAGGTTGAGACTAGTCAGACTGTGCGCTCCAAGGTGTGCAAGAGAAGGCCAATAGTCCATATCTAGGACCCTCAAGGATGGCATATCTGAAAACGAGAGATCACGGAGAACCGTGCTGGTCACCCCACCGAGTCTAAGTTCAGAAAGTTGGGGCAGGGCAGCCAGAGCCTGAGAAGGAACACTGCCCAGTTTGGTCTTCTCCAACCCCAGTCTCTGCAGCAGTGGCATCCCCTTGAAGGCTGCAGGAGATATGAACAACAGAGGGTTGTCACCCACCTCCAGGTGCCTCAGCTCCTGAAGGCCACGGAACGTTTGATCCAGCAAAATGACCAACTGGTTGGCTCTAACGTCTAACCAGTTCAGCCCCGGCATACCCAAGAAGACCCCTGGAGGCAGAAGCTTGAGTTGGTTATGGTGCGCCAACAGGACACGCAGCTTTGCCAGGCCGTCAAAGGCTCCAGGCTCGATACGGGTCAGCTGGTTGTGGCTCAGGTCTAGTTCCTGGAGATCCTGGAGGTGGAGAAAGGTCCCATGCTGGACGGACCGGATTCGGTTATAGCTGAGGTCCAGGAAGTGGGAAGAGCGAGGGATCTCTGATGGGACCAAGCTGAGAAGACGGCGTTTGCACAGCGTGGCGTTGTCATGGGACGGGCAGTCGCAGGATGGAGGACAGCAGACGCCAGACTCTATGAGCAAGACCCCCATAGTCACAAGCAGGACCGCCGGCTTCAGGGCCACGTTCAGTCTCTGGGTATACCTCCTCGTCTCCATCTTCACACAGAGCACATGGGGGTAGCTCCAGCCGGGACACTCATGTTGTGTAGACGTCTTTTAGGGCACGGACCTGGGGGTTTAATAAGAGAGTTAGACACGAGGTTCCACATACAGAAACACATACCTCCAACTGTGGGGAAGCTACAAATACCATCATGCCTTTGCCTCTGGGAGTCATGCCTGTGGAGGTCAGAGTCTTGCAATGGCTCATTGTAATGCTGTAAAGAAGGACCCTTGTCCTCTGTGGGGAAGCAGCGGCCTCTCTGCAAAGGTTGGAAGCGGTACGCCCACCGCTAAATCAGACCTATAGCTATGCAATCGGCAAAGCTCATGCCCTTTGCTGATTGGAGAGCTCTGGCTCTTACTCAGCAGGGGGTGCGTCTGATCTCTTCGGAGAGACCACTGCTTCAACACAGGGAGTTTGGAGTTTTCAATAGAGCTGAGAGGGGTCACATGATGTGTCCGTCTTAAAGGAGAACTATGGTGTCAGTGTTTTTCCCCATAGTTCTCCTTGGGGTAACGAGAGGACACAAACTAGCGTCCTCCCGTCACCCTAAGCTCAGTATACCGCGAGCTACAGCTCACTATATACTGAGACGCCGCACCTGGAGCGGATCCCGACTTAGATGATGGGATCCGCCCAGCTGCGTGAGTGACAGCTGGCTCTGCCTATCTAGAGGCAGAGCCAGCTGTACCCGCCCCTCCCCCGTCCGTTCCGCCAGTCAGCGCTGGCAGATCGGAGCGGGGAGAGGGGAATCCAGCCCCTCCCCCTGTCACGGCAGAGTGCCGTGACAGGATCGAGAGGTGAGGGAACCCGGTATGTGTTCGCTCACCTCCCGATCTACTGAGCCGACCTGTGACAGTCTCATTGTCACAGGTCGGCTTAGAACTATGAGGTGAGTGGAAATCACTCATGTCATAGTTCTCCTTTAAGGTAACTCTCACATGTGATGCTGAGCCTCCATGATTGAAAGAACTGAAATCCAATGAGTGAAAGGGGCGGGGCCAGGGACAATCAGGCTGGGGAGGTAAGCGCTAGATGATGCTGGGCGTCCTCCAGCCAGGAAAGGAGGCGGGCTCTATCTGACTTCTAGAAGCTGCAGCTTCTAATGCACATTGTGAGAAGCTTGCAGTGTGCAGTGACATCAGAGGAAGCCATTTCAGTCCAGGAGAGGAGACGGTA